TTAAAATTTTTACTTGATGAATAATAAATAATATATAAATATAAAAAACTCTACTGGTTAATAAAGAAAGCATCAAAATGCAATAAAATGAGATCATTAATTACATTCATTTATTTTGTTACAAAACTTTGTAATGCAATGGAGACATTCATAAAAGTTCATTCTAGTTCATGTAATTTTTAAAAAATACTAGTCCCTGTATTTTATTTATAGTGATAAAGTGGTCTTTATTTGAATTTTTTTTTGTCCCTGTGCTATATAAAATTTACAATCTAATCTTATGATGGGCATTTTTTTTACAATCAGGTTCGTACGTGCAATACTACTTTTCATTATATAATGTTAATTACATAATATTTTTTTATGTAATAAATGAATTAAATATACAAATATATTCCATGATTCTTTACATCTAACCATACATGCAAGTTGAAAAAATTTTCAACTCTTTTTTTAAATAAATAAATAAAAATTTAAATTCTTATCATTGAAGAAGAGGAGGCTGTATATATATATATATATATAAACAAGAGTTCTTCTCACTTTTGAATAGTATAAGACATTATTCAAATTTAAAACCACATGACATGAATAAAAAAATATTTTTATATCATTAAAAGTCGATGAATTTCTTCCATCTAAAATTAGAAAGGATTTTAAAACTTTTATCTTTCAAATACAAAGAATCTCCAATAAAATATAAAAAAATTATAAAAATAAAGATTAATACAACATCTTGGATAGTCTTTCCATATAAATCAAGGATAAGTATTTGATTTTTATATATTCAAAATAAATTTAGAATATATAAATGGTATGATAATTCCATTATCTTAGAATATATATTAAAAAAAATAAAGATAACATTTAATCTGAAATTACTGCATTAATTTTGTAGTTGATATAATTGATTTGATTTGCTAGCAGTAAATGAAACAAATAAAGAATTATCTTAATTTTCTAAACAGCAGTGCTCGTATATAGGTGGAATGGTTAATTTGCTGTGATTTAGAGTTTGAATACCAATTTGAAGCCATCATCATAGCTGGGGGACTAACATTGTATTTAACCCAAGCAGATACTTACCCCTCCCTTTCCTATAACAAAGTCCCTCTCCATCGCATAGATCGATTAAAAAACGACACGCTCTTCCTTCCTGAATCCACCTCCATCTCTCCCACTGAAAAAACACACGGAAACAAGCTATTTCAATATAAAACTAACAATAATAAAAGAAAAGGAAAACCCCAGAGTAGAATAAAAATAAATCGAGATGAAGGAAGACGATTCGCTTCCAACAACAACAGCACTAAGCGTGAAAAAGGAAACCTCCGATTCCGTTCTATTCGGCAAAGGCCGTTACAAGTTCTGGGCTCTAGCAGCCATTTTGTTATTAGCATTCTGGTCAATGCTTACTGGCACCGTCACTCTCCGCTGGTCTGCCGGAAATCTCAACAGCCTCGTCGACGACATCGACACTCCCATTCGCGACGATCTCGATGTCCTAGTCAGTACACAGAACTATTTCTGAGTTTTTATTTTTTATTTTTTTAAATTTTGATTTTATGAATTTATTTTGACTGGTGAATTGTAAATAACTGTAGGAAATGGAGGACAGAGAGAAAGTGGTGAAGCATATGTGGGATATATACACGAATAGCCATCGGATCAGATTACCAAAATTTTGGCAAGAGGCATTTGAAGCTGCTTATGAAGAGTTGACTAGTGACGCATCAGATGTTAAAGAGGCTGTCATTGCTGAGATCGCTAAGATGTCTATTCGGTCTATTGATCTTGATCCGTTTCCTGTTCAATCTACGGTGAGGACTCCTTTTTTCCTTTTTTTAGGTTCTTGAGATTTTGCATTTTAATGTTAAGTTTCCGCAAATGAACTTTTTTTCTTTTTTTTTGTTGATTGGAACTGTATACAAAGTAGCCAGGGTAGTGTTGACATTGATCTTGTGATTATTGATTTTGATTTGAATTGAAAGCGGAAGCATGTTGTCGGTGGTTGATTCGGGGTTAGGAGGTGGGCTTGCTCTGTGATTTTACTTATTGGTCAAAGTCTTAGTGTAGAAAAGTCTGAGTGATGTGATAGAAAACCTTACTGAAGTTAGACTTGGAGTTTGCATTAGTATATTTTAGAAACAGTGGGCTTAATCGAGCTCATTGTTCATTTAGGTAGAATTTTGATAAGCTGGTGTAAATAATATTTTATTGAAAGAATTATTCATTTTTTATTTTAAATAAAAGAAGTGATTTATTGAAAGAAAGATACGGAAAAAAAAGCAGCGGCTACAGATATTGTTGCGAGGAAGGAAATAAGTGTAATATCGTACCCAAAGGCATGCAAAAGAAACTCATATGAGAGATGCAGAGCAAAAGAATGGCAGATCCGTAGTAGAAGAAATGGAGAGACTCATCGGGAATGGTGTGAAAAGAAAGGCTGATCCTGATAGTAATAATAAACTAGGGTAAATTTCATGAGATAAAATTGAGTGTGGACTAAGATTGCTAAGATGTCTATTTGGTCTATTGATCTCAGTGTATCTACCTCCTGTCTGATCAATGGCGGTGATTTATTTTCTTAGGTTTTTGTGAAACTGCTATTAATCCTTTTAATTGTTCAGTTAATTGAAATCTTGATTTGTTCACCGTTTAATTTAGCAAAAACATTTTTATACTTTTGAATGCTGAGAGAAAACCCAGTTATTGGAACACTGTTCAAAACAGTAATGGTAATGTTGGCTTTAATCTCAGGATGATAGGTGTTATGGTCTGAAATCACTGGCAAACTTTTAGCCTTTCAAAAATAGACAATGGATTGTTGTATGTTAATACCCCACTGTATCCCTTAACATGCCAAATATTGCATTGCATCAAAAAGGTGTGGATCCTTTGAAGTTAGGGGCAAATTTGATATTTGCTATACTTGACTATCTTTTTAACAATTGCTAAATGATTGTGTGAAACTCAAAATGAAATCATATTAGGGACCGCAGGGAGCATTAGTTCTGTCCATTTTCATTGAATTTTGGTTCTACATAAATTGTCAATGTTTTGCTGGTGGCAAGAGTTTCAATGTGACAATACCTTTTGTTTTGCCTGCTTTTTCCAAAGTTTATTCAATTCTTTTACCATTGTACTTGAGGAAATTATTAAGGTTTTTGTTTGTGCGCTATCCTTTGATACAGACTTTTGCTAGTTTATTCTGTTCGGATAGTTCTGTGGAAGCCTCTTTTTCTTAAGCAAAATATTTCCCAGCTGAAAATTTGTTCACGATAGCCTACTTTAGATGACTGTCATCTCAGCTGGACATTTTCAATGTTTTATCAACAGAAGCTACAAACGCTAGGTCTAGATGTTTAGCAGCTTTTTCTATCTGATATCTGGAGTGGTTAAGCCCCGTTGGATGTTGTGTGCTCACATAAACTTAACCAGAAGTTGGTATTTGGTTGCTGAACTTGTTGAATTAGTTCCCGATGAGATCCTAGGTGCATGGGTATCCTTGTGCTGTGTCCTGTGTGGGTGGTAATTTTGAATTGTGATTATAGGAGGGCTGTAGTTTGTATAGCTTCTAAGAATAAATCTTCTATACAATTTCTCACCAGGCTAATTATGATCCCTGTTATTGAGATTCAACGTGTAGTTCATTATTGCAGATGAATCCTACAAGTCATCTTTGGCCATGCCTTCAATGTGACAAACTGGATTCCAGTTATCTCGGACTTCCTTTTATATTTATGTCATTGTTTAGTGTAATCATGAGGTGGGTCTGTGAAAACCTAGTATGCAATGGAGTGAGGAAAAGTTCAGACCATTCTATCACAATGTCCACAACAGCAAATGCTTGATCAGGGAGTTTCTAAGTTGCATGATATTTTGAAGTGAAAGCAAGTTTTGGGTTAGGGTAGGGGTTGTGGTGAGGACTAAGTGGAACTTCATCACTACGAGTGGGCGTCCATCTCCTTGTTTGTACTGTTTGAGTAGGTATTCATCTGTTAAATTTATTATTGCCTTACGTTTCATGAACCAGAGAAATAAAAAGAAGGAATAGAAACATTGTAGGGCTGTTAACTGCTATCTAAATTCTAATCCTATTTTGAATTTATGCGATCTTGTGATTGTGTTGGAGTTGGGGTTAATTTGCTGTGCCTCTCTTCTTTGCTCACTACCTGTTCCTGACTTCAGAGATGTATCATTGCTATCCCAGATTGTATTGGTAAAGTGTTTCTCTCATTTGCTACACCTTTAATGATTTGCTGCTCTCATGGCCAGCCCATATCATTGAATCAATGAACTTGGAAGTATAAAAGCCTCGTATTGCTCGATGTGCTTCTCTTGTGCTGAATTAATTTGAGTGGGACAGACATGTTAACCATAACTTTTCTGTGTTTCTTATGTTTGCTTTCAGAGAGCACGAGAATTAAGCAAGAGTCTGAAGCTGGCTGCAGTGGCTTCAAAAGGGAGTGGTCATTGATGTGGAGAAAGTTGAGCACCCGAGGCTTCAAATCCAGCTTCGTGCCTCATTGCTCCATGTGCTGCTGCCCAGAGTTTGCGAGCGGTGGTGATGGGTGAACCATACTCTTTAAGTTTATTGTTTTCATATTAGGGATAAACAATGTATTTAAATAGGTTATCATTCTTTGTACCTTATTTTGCTTTCACAATCTTCGTAATATGAGTGGGTTTTAACAACTTTTTGGATAGATCACTCCAGTAAGAAATTTTGGTAAAGATGTCGTCTACTATTTCAAGTTGAAAGAATATTTGAAATTCTACATTACAATTTACAAGTTAATAAGCTATTCTGTCGATCCATGTCGCTGTTATTCTTTGCCCTGGCATCTGAAATTCGAAGAAAGTGCCAGGCTGTTAGCTGGTTTCTCTGGGTGTGCCCGACTGCTCTTTCATTTCAATGGGAGATCAAATTGCTAACGTAGACAAATTTCATCAACTATCGAACCTCGTCCCCCCTCGCCGACAAATTGGAGGATAGAAATAAATCTACCCCGTTTCCGACCTCAAATCAACACTATCCACGGCACATTCTAGAAAAAGTCGTTCCTTAATCTCTCTCTCCACCCCCTCCCTTCATAATGGTTATGTTCCTTCGAAACAGCTCTCAAGTGTTGGGATGAATATGGGCGGTAAAAATAAATGAATATGTAACATCACCGCAATATATAATAAAAAGAGTTTTGCCTAAAAGCTCATTTGAAAGCTCTACCATCTTTGAGGAAATCAATCCCGTCCCTCAAAAGACAAAACACCACCAGAATCCCCAAATTCACCACCACCTAACGATGAAGTGCCCCTACTGCTCCGCCACACAAGGCCGCTGCGCCACAACAACCACAAACCGCTGCATAACCGACTGCACGTCTTGCGGCCGTGTTGTAGAAGAACGCCAATTTCACCCTCACCACCTCTTCCACCTCCGTGCACAAGACACCCCTCTTTGCCTCGTAACCTCCGATCTCCCGACCCTTCACCACCACCACCAAAACGAAGAAGACCCATTTGAGCCCACCGGGTTTATAACCTCCTTCTCCACTTGGTCTCTCGAACCCAACCCAGTCTCCGTCCGTTCTTCTCTCTCTTTCTCCGGTCACCTTGCAGAACTTGAACGGACAATTGAACTAAGTGCTTCTACACCGGCTTCAAGTTCTAATGTCGTGGTGGATAATCTGAGAGCGTATATGCAGATTATTGATGTGGCTTCGATTTTGGGCTTGGATTGTGATATATCAGATCATGCGTTCCAGTTGTTTAGAGATTGTTGTTCAGCTACTTGTTTGAGGAATCGGAGTGTCGAAGCTCTTGCTACAGCTGCTCTTGTTCAGGCTATTAGAGAAGCCCAAGAACCCAGAACCCTCCAGGTATTAAACAGTGAGACCTGTGCAGATGTTTTTAATTTAGAGTTAACTAATTGTAATAAGCATTACTGTATTTTTGAAGTGCTGCGTTAGGAAGGATAATTTCGAACCGGCTAATTTGAATTGTATATGATGCTGGCTTTGTGTAATTATATTTTGAGAATCAGGTAGGGACACTTGTAAATGGAGAGGTAATTTTTAGAAAAGGAAGGTGGGCTTATTGCATTTTTTGTTACTTTGATTGAAAGCTGATGCATTCTTCAATCTACATGCTTGTGCTTATGTTTTTACACTGACTGGATAATGTCTCCTAGCAAGTGAAAAGTATGACACTGTTAAGGTCAAAATGAGGGGAAATGAGGATAAGGGATTGGTTAGAGGCTTCTCTAATGAGTACCTCAGTTGTTTTTTAATGACCGAAACGATTTGCTTTAAGAGTACTTTTATATACTAGTGCCGCTGTTATTCCTGTCCTTGAGATTTGATGCTTGCCTGGTATGATAATGTGCTCCTGGGTGTTGTGTGCAAGTAGTTGCATTGGTCTTGGCATCTTTCGGATTTGATCATTTCTAACTTGAATGACTGGGTTATATTAACAGGAGATCTCGATTGCTGCCAATGTACCTCAAAAGGAGATTGGGAAGTACATCAAGATACTGGGAGAAGCTTTGCAACTAAGTCAACCAATTAACAGCAATTCAATTTCAGTGCATATGCCTAGATTCTGCACTCTCCTCCAACTGAACAAATCTGCTCAGGTACTTTGTTGTGTGGAAGCAGCTGACTTGTTAAGTTGGAAAAGTTAGAATTTAGTTAATAAACTTTGAGAAATTGTATTCGAAGGATTGAAAGTGTTAAGAAGATCAAATAGAAAAAAGAAAGAAATTTTGAACAGGAAAATTGTAGCCTTCTTAGGGGACAAATAGAACGCATTAAAATCAATTTTACTAAAATTAATATTTCACTACTTTTTAATGTCAAACTGTTGCAAAGATTCCAAGTTGCTTTTGGCCCCAAAAAATGAGTTCGATGATAATAAAACCTCGGTAGCTGTTCACCTGACACGTTCAAATTTTTTTATCTTTTTGTGAACTGCAAGCAATTTGTATACATAAAAAGTCGATGGAGTCCTAATACCAAAAAGAAATAGTTGTTAATGAAGTCATTTACAATTTTTGTGGTTTGGCTTATAAATGATATTTCTGGATAATTTGACACTTGTTTTGCTCATTGAAGTGGCTGTGTGCAAGTATTTACCAGCTTAAAGTGTGATCACACTAAAAGTGCTCAACAAAACATTGATCAAAAACATATAAATAGACTCTTTACTTCTCGAGCTTGTGGATTTTCTCTTGACCATTTGCTTTTCACTTGATCAAATTGAGCAACTAATTGATATAACTAAAGGAACTGGCAACTCACATCGGAGAAGTTGTTATCAACAAATGCTTTTGCACCCGGCGGAATCCCATTAGCATCTCTGCAGCTGCTATATATCTGGCATGCCAACTAGAAGATAAAAGAAAGACACAGGCAGAGATTTGTAAGGTGACAGGTCTCACAGAAGTCACCCTCCGTAAAGTCTACAAGGAGCTTTTGGAGAATTGGGGTGATCTGCTTCCAAAAAATTATACTCCTGCTGTCCCTCCCGAGAAGGCATTTCCCACAACTACAATTGCCTCAGGCCGATCCTCTGCACCTAAAATTGATCCAGTTGAATTAATATCTTCATCTTCAGAAAAAGATAAACAACTAGAGAGTAAATCAAATAAGCCAAGTGAATTGGCCAGAGGCAAAGAGGACGCTGAAAATAATGTTAATTCCCGTGGGGTCCGACCTCCTCAATGGCAGAATTTCAGGCAGCCCTGGCTACAGTGTGTAACTTCTGGAGTTCGGATGGTGGGAGATACAAATCAGAACTTAGCTCGAGTGGATATCAATGAGTCGCAGCCTAGTCGTCAAGAATTCGAAGAGAAGGCAGACAAGCAGAAAATGGATAAAGATTCAACAGCTTCAGCATGGCCAAACCAATTATCTAGTTCCCCAGCTTCAGGTGCGAGCACAATCTCCTGGCCATTTCGGTCAGCACCTTCTCCAATAGTACAGCCACCACCCAAGCTAACACCAGGTTATGCTGAGCTTAAAGGTATTGGCAGTCAAAATGGAGGTAAAACTGGCAATAATAGTGGAGATAACAAGTAACACCACGAATTGGATCCTCCCCTTTCAGGTATACATTGTTGTACAGCACCAAAAGATGCAGTTACAAGTTTCCCTGATGATTAAATTCTGCGGTTTTTATTTTACTGTTCATTTTATGTATCATAAAGCATTTCATATCAGAACAGAAATTAGTTATTCCACTAATAGAGTCTTATGCTATCTTCTATGGACGGATGGATTCAAGGTCGTGCAATTTATAATTTGTTTTTCACACACGTGTTCCCGTATGATATGTCAGGGCTCGATCATTCTCAACTCCAACAAGCATCAAGCAACTTGCAAATAGAAATTCTTGCATGGACCACCAAGGAAGTCAACAGTAGCATTTTGATGGACTTGCACTGCTTGAGGCACTTGAATGGATGGTGGTGACATTTGGGTAAGAATTTCAAGGGACCTGTTTGTCCCTCTAGTTTCTATGTTTTAGCCACTACTAGTAGCCCCAACAAAAGCACAGCTTAGTGGCCTACCCTTTCGAAGCCTGTGAACCTTCTCATTTATGGAATGTTATGGATTTTTAAAGGAACTTAGAAGGAGGAGGACAACTTATGCTGCTTTTAAAGGCAACATGTGAAGTGATTCATGACTTGAAAAGGGCACCTTTTATTTTTTCTTCACAGGTAGATGATCATGAAACATTTTGCCGACAGTATTTTTCCACAGGTTGGATGATGATATCTTGACCCAATATTAGTGCTTCTTGCATTCCTTAAGGCTTAAGATGCGAAAAACTAGTTGATATTGGACAGCTTAGTGAAGATTTACGGAGAAGACTGGAAATGCTTCATCGTGAAACTTCATTAATTCCCGTTCCCGTAGCATGAAGTTAGGAAACGTAGTTTTAAGAGGTCCTCTCAGTGATATTTTGTTGGATTGTCTATACATTGTTACGGGGTTGCTTATGCCAGTATTTGGTTTGTGTTGAACTTTGCTATGTATTCAGTGAATCTATTCTTCCCTAGAATTTGCGATGTACTAGCAGCCTACCTCTACATGTTGAAGGTTGCGAAAACTGATAGTGATTGAATTTTCAATGGCATCTCTTCGAGACGCTTTTCGTGGGCAATTGCTGTCAGGTTTGTCTTAAACTTAGGAAGGGCCCATCACCATCATTCCTGGATTATATGATCTTGATGTTGAAATTGTTTTTTTTTTAAAAAAAATATTTAAAATTATATTTTTATATGAGATGATATATTATGTGGATTTATAAAATAAATATATTTGATATTATTATAATTATAAATTATTGTTAGATAAGTAATAGAAACTAAAAATATGATAGAATAAATATTTTATAATGAGAAAAAAAAATTATCTTTTTTGTTAATAAAAAGTAAAAAAATATTACAAAATTAAATCAACTTAATATTAAAAAAAAATAATAAAGATAACTTTGAATAAAAAACCCATGAGAAAAAATGTTGTAATAATTGATAATGTTTTATAAAAAAATTATAATGTTTTTTTCAATAAAATAAAATAAAAAAATCATTTAGAGAAATATTATAGTAATTTATAGTGTTTTGTGAAAGAAATTACAATACTTTTATCTTATGATTTAATTTTATTGTAATTATAATTCTTAACTAATTTAATATTAAAAAAATAACAAAGTTAATTTTAGAAAAAGTCATAAAAAAATCATATGGAAAAATACTGTAACAATTTACAGTTTTAAAAAAAAATTACAAAGTTAATTTTTAATCAGCTTAATATTTTTTTAAAAAATTGACAGATAATTTTAGAAAAAAATAACAAAAAAAATCATGTTGAAAACACTGTAGTAATTCATATTGTTTTGTGATAAAAGCTATAGTATTTTTTCACATGATTTAACTTTATTTGTAATGACTTATAATTATAATTTTCAAACAGCTCGATATTAAAAAAAAAAGAATTGACGAAGATAATTTTAAAAAAATTTCAAGAAAAAAAAACATGTGAAGAGACACTGTAGCAATTCACAACGTTTTATACGGAAAGCTACAGTGCTTTTCTTACATGATTAAGTTTTATTACAACGTTAAATTTTAACCAACTCAATATTAAAAAAATAAAATCAGTAAAAATAATTTTGAAAAAAATATTATAAAAAATAAAAACACAAAAGAAATTGAAAAAAAAACATGTGAGAAAAAACTGTATAAATTTATAATATTTTGTGAAGTAAAATTTGTATTTACTTATAATTGTAATTTTTAACTAGTTTAATATTTAAAAAAATAAAATTGACAAAGATAATTTTAGAAACAAATATAATAAAACAGAAAAAAATCATGTGGGAAAAAACATTATAGCAATTCACAGTAATTTATAAGGAAAGTTACAATGTTTTTCTCGTATATTATAATTGTAATTTTTAATCAGTTTAATATTAAAAAATAAAAAAAAATAATTTTAGAGAAAATCATAAAAAACAAAAAAACCACGTGGAGAAATAATGTAGCAATTAATAATATTTTAAAGAAAAATACAAAATAAAATTCTTAATCAGTTCAATATTTAAAAAATAAAAAAAATATAATTTTAAAAAATAAAAAACCATGTGGGAAATACCGCAGAAATCCACAATATTTTGAAGGCAAAAAGTTTCAAAGTGTAATTTTTAACCCACTCAATATTTAAAAAGTAAAATTAATAAAAATAATTTTGAAAAAAATAGAGGAAAGTTGAAAAAAAAAGTAATTTTATAAAAATACAAAAAAAAAAAAGAAATAAACAGAAGGTTAGGAAAAAATATATAAAAAAATACATTATGAATTAATGTTGTAATTTACACTGTATTTTGGTGTGGAAAAACAGTGATTTCATTCTATCTTTTAGTTATATATATAATTGTTTTGATATATTGATATTAAAAATAAAATTTTTATTTTAATATATTTATAAATAAAAAACATTTTAAAAATCTTTACTGATCATTCCATGATGAATCATGGTCACCTTAATCTGGATGAATCATATGGTCATCTTAGTAAATGTTTTCCCCCTTAACGACAGACATTTCAATTTGAACATTTGAACCAGTGTTATAAAACCCAAGCAGTTGACTTGGGACTTTTCCCCTTATGCCAGTCTTTTGAATTTGAACCCGCATTGTAAAACCCACGCGGGCTAACAAGTTAATTTGAGATTTTTCTTTTAATATCAGTTTTTTTAAAAAAAATTTAAAAATCATTTTAAATTAAAATAAAAAAATTAATTTGATATAAAGTGGTTAAAAACTTTGGTTAATCTATTAGGGTAAAAGCAAGTTAAAATTCGAATATTTTTTAATTAAAATAATATTATTTTTAAATTTATTTTTAAATTATAAGATCAATTTAAGATAACTCTTTTGATTTGTGATTTAGACTTGGTTTCAAGACAATGATTTGGACCCAATTTCCAAATCAGTTCCACAAATTTTTGCACCTTGTGTTGCTTTTATTTGAGAAAAAGGAGAGATTTTTTTGTGCTTTGATGGTCAAATATCTGCTTTAAACTCGTGCAAGCAGGAACTTCGCTGACACTGTAGGCTTGGGTTCGTCTAGTTGTAGATTACTCTAAACGTGTTTTTAACGTGCTAAAATTCCATTCTTCTAGTTTCACTATTTTTTCACCAAACGCGTCCTTAATTTATTTATTTTTTAAGATACGAAACGACAATTCACGATGTCGTAATGCTATGGTAATCAAACTCCATGGCAGCCCCGTAAAATATGTTAAACCTCAATGGCTTTTCTATGAGGGACACGATATTTACACAAAAAGGGACGTGTCAAGCATGTAGAGACCAAACTAACCAGGAAACCCTCCACTCTCTTCTCGAAAACAAACACACCTACCTCCGATCTCCACCACACATGCCTCCACGTCATCAATCCTCCCACACTCCAATCTAACGGCCCACACCCTCCCAATAATTCACCCCAACCCTAACCCACCCCAAACCCTCCAACCCAGGCTGAGCCCTAGCCCCAAACCCTCGAGCCTTAAGCATATACCCTCCTCCCCCTCTTTTAACCAATAAAAAACCATAGGTCCACGGCTGCTTTTAAAAACAAAAAACAGAGGAAGAGGAAGAGAAACAGAGAGTAGAAAATCAAGTGTTAGTCCTTTAGCTTTCTATTTCCCTTTTAACACCCCCCCCCCCCCCAAAAAAAAAAAAAAAAAACCTATATCACACAGCAATAAAATCCTACAGCCTCAGAAAAAAAAATTAGGGTTTGTAGCTACTGAATCCACTTTTGATCTAGAATGAAATTAGTTTGAGATTAAAAGGAGATTTGGTGATTGTTGTGGTTAAATTTTTGATGGATGAGATCTGGGAAAGAGCAGTGGAGACAGCATTAGAGGGGCAAACAGATAACTTAGCGGTAAGAGCCCTAACCCTAGATGGTGCTGTTAAGTGTATACAAGGAAGATTACCAGCAGCTCCAAGTTTATTTGAAAAATTCGAGAATCTTCAACACCTATCTATTGCAAGTATTGGCGTTTCAACGTTAGAGCAATTTCCTCGTCTTGGAAATCTAGAGAAATTAATTTTATCTGATAATAGAATCTCTGGTGGATTAGAATTTCTTGTGGAAGCTGGACTCGATTCGCTTCGGGATTTGGATTTGTCAAATAATAGGATTCAGTATATTGAAGATCTAGCACCTTTGGCTAAGTTACGGTTGGTTTCGCTTGATTTGTATGAGTGTCCGGTTACGAGAGTCAAGGATTATCGTGCTAGGGTTTTTGGATTGATTAGTTCGTTGAAGTATTTGGATAAAATGGATGCTGAGGAGAATGAGAGACCGGAGTCTGATGATGAGGAGGAGGAAGAGGAGGAGGAGGAGGAGGATCCTGGGAGTGGTGAGGTTGATGGGGAGGGGGAAAGGCCGTTGGGTATGAATAACGGGCATAGTGAAGTTGGGGAAGGGATTGTTGATGTGGATGAGGAAGAGGAGAGCGAGGCGGATGAGGAGGAGGCGGAGACGGGGAGAGAAGGTAATGGGGTTAGACAGAATGGGTTTCGGGTTGAGGTAGTGGACAGGAGGGAGGAGGAGGGGGGGGAGGGGGAGGAGGAGGGAGATGAGTTTGGGGAAGAGGAAATTGATGAGGATGATGATGATGTAGTGGAAGTGCATGAGATTGGTGACGATAGTGACGAGGATAATGATGCTGTGGATTATGAGGAGGAGGACGACGACGATGATGACAACGATGATGATGATGAAGAAGATGAAGAGGGGGAGGAGGAGGAGGTGGATAATGATGAAGGGGATCTTGGTGAGCCGGAGAGTACAGGAAGATTAACGAGTACAGAAGGGGAGATTGATGGGCATGAGCATGGGGAGGATGACGGTGAAGAGGATGATAATGGAGAGACTGGTGAGGAGGAGCAAGTTGTTGAGGATGATGGAGAGTTTGACGATGAGGAAGATGGTGAGGAGGAGGTGAGATGCTTTGGAATCTTATGTTTACCTTATTCATTTATTTGCTTTATATGTGTTGCATGGTAGGATTAACTGCTTGATTGCTATTTGGTAAATTTGCAGACAAGATGGAAAGGCGTGACCTCTGTTGAAGGCTTAAAGCCTTATTTTACTGCATATATATGCATGAGTCGATACTTTTTGGTCTATGGCATCTTTACTATCTGTTTTTTATCTGCCTCAGGCAGAAAATATGGGTTTTGAATGTATTTGCTATCGTGTTTTATTTTACTGCTTTTTGAATTTTGTCAGTGGTCAGGATACTTTTCTTTGTTTTCATGGACAGCAGATTCATAGTCCTTGCCAATATGGCGGATGGTAATCTGGGAAACAGATTATAACTTGAATTTTAACATGAGGGATTGTTTACATCAAGAGATGAATTGAGTGACATCAGGAAATTTAGATTTTTGGTTTAATGGCATGTTCACAAAATTTTGGGGAACTCGGTGATCTTTTGAGGATAAGTTCATATTTTATGAACTGAGTATTTTTAGGAAAGACTTGGGAGGAATAAAAGAAACTGCAAATGTTTAGCAAGGAGGAGGGAAAAGGTGAAGATGGTCTTTTAGTTTGTGGTATGGTTCACCAATTATATTTTTTGTGGCTTTCTTTTCTTGCTGTAGGAAATGCTATCGCCAGGTCTTTGGTACTGATTTGGGAAGACTGTTACTTGGCATGTGGAATTTCTTACCCTTCCTAACTCGTTGTAGGACTGATTTGCTGGTTTGTGTTCTCTAAGTGTGGTTTTTATAGCATGTGATTAGTATGTCACTGATGATTATTTTTTTTTTTGGTTAAGCTTGCATCCCCTGCTTTATTATGTCCTATTTGTTAGTATTAACAATGTATAAATGAAGTGTTTTACTTGATTTCTGTTAAGTGGTAAATATTAAATAGGGATTATTCTTTTAGTTCATCTTCTGATCTTGTTTTGCTCTGGTGTGCATGTGTGAGTATGCGATTGTAGATTATTTTTCTTCCAGAGCCTTTTAAGTAATTTGGAACTCGGACTAATCTTATTCAAACAACCTGAAAATGAGTCCAAATACATTTCCTTGGCATTTTCAAGTACTCGTATGATTTGTTGTTTTAAATGTGGATGCTTTTTCGAATGTCTATAATGGTAGTGATATTCTTGTTTTCTGATAGAATTTCTTATTGCAATGGCAGGATGAAGACTCCGATGAAGGGTACTTGGTTCAACCAGTGGGGCAGGCAGAAGTTCATCATGATACTGGAGGCAGTGACTTGGAGCCTGGGAACGAGGAAGATGATCCTGAAGGGGAGGAAGAAGTTGACGATGATGATGAATTGCAGATGTTACCATCATCCTCACACCTTAAGAGGAAGAGAGATGAAGATGAGGAGGAAGATGGTGAGGATGATGATGATGAGGATGTTGTTGAATATACGAAGTCATCATCGAAGAAGCACCATTAGCTCTCCTTCAATCTCCTGGGTAAAGATGTTTTGTTTGTGTCGTGAAGCATGAAAAAAAGAGGAACTTGTCAGATAGACTGGTTGTAGTCTGCTAGTGATTTTGAGTATTCCCGCGTGGACATGCATATTTAGGTGAAGGAATTTATATCTTGGGTGGCATGTTGTTAGATTCAAAAGGTTGTTAGCATCGTCCCGCTTCTTCCCATTTCCTATATAGCCGTTAGTCTTTGTTAATTCAAATGACAGTTATGAAGGAGGGTTTCACCGCCCATTCTTCAGCTCCCTCCCTCCCAGGGGTCTGTTTCTAAATGGGAACTAAATGGAGGGACAAAAGAGAGAAAGACTAGGTTCCCCCCCTGCTGCCTGGGCCAAAAGCTTGTTATAAAATTGCCTGGTAGAAACGCTTGTAGAGAGACTTCCTTCTTCCCGCTCTGCTTCATTCAATCAAATGATGGGCTTTTGAAGAATTCTTTTTACTCCTTGCTACCTGTCTCCTTGTAATTGGCCAGTCATTTGCTTTTATTTATCAGCAGGTGTGGAGGCCATGTGTCCACTTGAGAGCTCAATCTAAAAAAAAATCAATGCAGCATCATCTTCACCATCGGCTCTACAATGGTCTCGCGCACACGGAAAAAAAATAAACACCTTGAATCACGTGACGTGGGACCTGGTATATTATGTGGCTAGTAGGAGCAGGTGCATCATGTGAATCTGATCAGGCGGTATTAAAGTTTTTGACACTTCCTCTTCTCTCTTGAGATTGGACTGTCATTTTGCTTGCATCAGGTGCTACGGACACAGGTGAACCCAAACAGCTAGTAGGAGAGAAAGTAATTGAGCCAGCCAACCCTAGTGATTCTCAAGCTTTTAGCCCAGGCCAAGCCGAGGCTGAGGCTTTGAAAGACTTGACCGGCTGCGGCTCCGGGCCCTCAGTGAAGAAGTGGACATGTCTCTATCTTGTTGGTTTTCCCCAAATTAACTTAGTTCAAAAATCAGAGAATAATAAAAGAATATCTGGGACTTAATTTTTTTTTAATTCAATGAATGAGTTCTATAATTCCTTAATTCCTTTAAACTTCCATTAGAGCATTGACGGTCCAGATCTCTTGTGCAGTTGTACTGATCAGAAGGGTACTTCAAACGAATGGTTCAAATCCTTTGTTGTTGACATAAATACGGATAAGGTAGCCTGAACTCAAGCCTGCCCTTATTTCTCACTAGTTTAATTGGTTGGCCTTTTGCCGAATTGGAGCTGAAAAAAAAAAAAAAAGAACGGCTCCAGATTGGACGTCAAAGATGTTGCTCTTATCACCTTCGCTTGCGTCGGTACTGTCACCGCAAAGTCGCAGCTACCATGTCAACAGCAGAAGTACAAGACCGCACCGGCCGCTCAAGGTTGTCGGCATGGCAAAGGAGACCACCGATGGTGGTAATGGCATCATAGAGAAAGTTGCAATAGTCGGCGGGTTAGTCTCCACCCCAGTAATCGCCTGGTCTCTCTACACCCTCAAGACAACAGGGTGTGGCCTACCTCCTGGACCAGGAGGTTCAATAGGAGCACTGGAAGGTGTAAGTTACCTGGTTGTTATCGGAATTATAGGCTGGTCCTTGTACACCAAGACCAAAACTGGCTCCGGTCTGCCTACCGGACCTTTTGGGTTGTTGGGAGCTGTAGAAGGTCTGTCATATCTGTCATTGCTTGCCATTTTAGTCATCTTTGGATTGCAATTCTTTGAGAAGGGTTCCATTCCAGGGCCTCTTCCAAGTGATCAGTGCTTTGGCTGAGGACTTCCTCTAGAGGATGATGTGGTTAATTAGGGCCACCACAATTCTATCTTTGTTCCTTCCGTGCGTGGCCATGGTTCATTGGATTTTCTGAACAATATTTTCCCGGCACAGATCAGTATATTCACATGCATCTGTCTCTACCTGTGCGTTTTTAGTGACTTCTAAGTTAAAAGAGTTTTTGCTCTATACACATGTTTACAAATAGTGATTTTGCTGGCTCAATTGCGACCATCATATAGTAGTATTTTCTATCTTTTTCTTTTTATAAATAATCGTAACCTTTATAGACTGTAGAGGGGGAAAATAAAGGTCAACGAATTGGAGAACACCAAATAAGAGCTCACAAATCCCTAGCACGTATTGCACTGTTCCACCATGGATGATCTTACCTTTTGAGATATTTAGCTTAAGTGGCAAGTGATTTGGCACCATCTCTGATACATGTCTACGCTGGGTTTAAATCCCAGTTGATGTTAGAAAGAAAGAGAGAAATTTTCCCTGCTCAAAATTCGATCAAGAAAAGATTGACTGCTCTTCCATGGACGGTGTCCGAAATACAATGGTTATTCAAATCTGGGTTCTGAATTAGGGGAGCTAATATAAATAAATGTTTGGAAACGTCTTTTAAAAACAATCCAATATATACGAAAACAAATTAATTTTTAATAAAAAAATTAATTTTTTATTAAAAATTAATTTATGTTCATATATATTGGATTGCATATATTGGATTGTTTTAATATGTTGATTTTAAAAATAATTTTTTAAAAATAAAATAAAAATTATTTTAATGCATTTCAAAATAAAAAACACTTTAAAAAACAATCATAATCATATTTTTAAATAGAAAATAAATCATCACATATTAATAAATAAAATAAAAGGATCAAAATAATATTGATTTTAAAACAAATAATTAAAAATTAACAAGTTTTCACCTGATCAAAGATAAATCAAGAACCTTTTAATGGAGTGCCACTAGATCAAATCCCAAAAGAATTTTTTAATTGACATGTGTTATAATCTAATTTTGGCCCATTAGCTTTTAATTTAATTTTATGGGGTTTAAAATGTAAAATTAAAAGATTAGAGATTTATTTTGATGAAAAGTATGATTTGTCAACTTGTGTGAAAACTAGGGACTATAATGTGCCTTTGTCATTATATCTTTATCTTTAAGATAATCCTTACCTTCAAGATAATCCTCAAGATAATGATAATTATCTGCTTTCAAATTCGAATTTCAAAAAAGAAAATAAGTTTGATTGAGATTTTACTTCTCGCAAGTGATGAGACTCTTGCACTATAAATACTAATCTCAGTATACAAAGAAAAAGAAGAAGAAAAAAGAGGAGGGGGAAGAACAATTAGAGAGAAACCTTGAAAGAAGAGACCCCAAGAGAAGACCATTACTAGAAACCCTAAAAGAGAAGAACATAAAAAAGAAAGGGGGCGGTGAATCCTATACTAGTCACCGCACCATCAACCCCTCTATTGTTTAGCTCGGTCTCCCTTGACTTTTCCTCTAACAACTGCACGCCTAGGTAAGTTTCCTTCCTTCCTTGTTAAAATAATTAACTAATCACTATTGCATGCATGTGTGAACCTTTCAAGCATGGCTAGGCTAGATCCAACCCAAAAAGAGAAAAAAAAAAGTTGGCCGGGTTTAGGCTTTAAGCCTAGCCGACCCACACTGTGTTTGTTAAGGGTGTGCTTGACAAAACATACCTATATTTTTTATGCCTTGACCATAATTTTTGTGTCCATTTTAATTAGATATTTGATCAAACAAGCTCTTTTTAGATATTAGAAAATTCAAACATATTAAGGAATCTTTATTGATTTATTTATAGGTCCCTCGCATTTTGTTTTATTTTTTTCCTTGTGTTTGTATTTCTTGTAAATGTGCTCAATTTGTAGACTATTACTGTTAAACACAAATATATCATGCAATGTTTTTTTTTACTTCCATCTAAAAGGGGCAAATAATAATAAAGGATAAATAAGAAAAAAAAGACATAAAAAGTTTCTTCTTCAAATTCATTTTTGCAAAAATATTCACTAACGCCAGAGTCAGGAGTATCATATTTTTGGTTTTGTGTGATATTTACCAACGCTAAAATTAAAAATATTCATAGGAATTGTTCACTGACATCAGAGTCAGGAACATGAAAGGAAAAATAAAAAAGGAAAAAAAGCGAACAAATTCTTAGTAATTTTAGACAAAACCAGCAATGCAGCCTGTCTTATATAGGACGCTTAAGGGGTGATAACATCTTTTCTTTTGTGTAATTAGTCCTGTATTATAGAATCTCTGTTGACCAGTTAAAGTTCCTAATAACCATAATACTAGGTGACAACTCCTTGAACAAGATATTTTTCCTTAAAAGAACAAGATACCAAATATCTATTTCTTTTTCAATCGAGATAATTTTTAATCGGTCATCGCGATGTCTAGATGTGACAACATGTTTGAGTCAATCGAGATTTTGTATCATCCTATTAACTATTAATGATGAATAAAACAATTCACTTATGAGTTATTATTTGAAAAGATGATTCAATTTATTTTTTTAAAATTTTTATTTTTTAATATATTTAAATTATTTTAATATACTGATATCAAAAATAATTTTTTAAAAATAAAAATATATTTTTTAATACATTTCTATTAAAATATAACAATACCTACATTTTCAAGTACTCATTAGCATGAAGCAATTCAAGAATCACATGCTTGGCCTAGCGGTGTCTCTTCCACTGCACCTGAGTTCGAGTCTTGGCGTGCATGCCTGTCATCCTCGCGGTGCCTTACATGCCTACTGGGTTTGCAGGATATTCAATTGGCCGTGGAGATTAGTCGTGGTGCGCGCAAGCTGGCCCGGACACCCCACATAAATAAAAAAAAAGAAAAAAAAAAGAATCACATGCGTTTTTTGTCCTTCCCACGGTTCTCATCATGTTATAGTTTAGTACATTTTAGGCATGATATTTGATTGAAGTATCAATTTTTCTCCTCAAATTAATTGATTATGAAAATGCTATCAATTACGAAGCACCTAAAAGTTAAAATAAGATATTCTGAACCATTAATCAATTTCCTTTTGTCTTTTTTTTTTTTTTGCTTTCTTTTTGACAAATTGATCAATAAAATGACATTAATTTGGATACGAAAACGTCTCCTCTGTTTTTGCTCCAAATTTAACACCTACTTTTTTTTCAGTAGACTCAAAATACTTAAACAGAATGTTTTTGTAAATTTTTTTAATTAAAAATATATTAAAATATTACTGATAAACACCTAAAAATTATTATTTTAATATTTTTCAAACAAAAAACAATTTGAAACAAAAAAACAAGATTTAATTGAAGAATATTTCATCTCAGGAAAGTAATTTCAGCCACTAGATTTTTTTTAGCATAAAAAATAATGAATTTGAATCCAAATTAAGAAAAAATTTAGCATAATTAAGATATAACACCCATTTCAAGTTGGTACTTGAATGTCGTCGCTGCTTGATCATCATTATACTGTGATCGTTTCACCGGCCTTTATAGTGGCTGAATTGAGGTTTCTCAGGGGGGGGAAAAGTAGAAAAGAAAAGAAGAAGTGCCTTTTCCATCTCCATTACAGGCTCCTAAATCAAATCAAGAACAGTGCTATTCTGCTGCAGAATACCAAAGAAATTACCCAAACACACACCTTAAAAAAACATATCAACTTCCAAGGAAAGCTGTAGTCTTTTTTAAACCTTTTTTATAGCCCCCAACAAAAAATTAAAAGCCCTCTAACAAGTTTCCACGCTCTGTAACACTGGTAAAGATTTCTCTCTGCACTCCTGCACTGAATCATAATTAATTATTCTCAACGCTCTTAAACTACTTTAATTAATTAGAAGAATCATGATTGCGCTTGTTAGTTTTGTGTGTTTCTCGCTCTCGCATAATATCTGTTTGGTTGCTGAGAAAGTGGAGAGAAAATTGAAGATTTCGAGGTTTTTTTGGTTAAGAAATGTTGGTGACAAAACAGAGCCTTTTAAAGTAGCAAGCATCGCGATTGTGTTGGATTTTCTAGTCTTTTCTTTGCTGGGTTTTTTATTTAGTGGATTTTTCTCGCTTTAAGGTTAATGGGGTTTGCTTTAATATTTTAGAGTAAATTGAAATTCTTTGTTATTGCTATTTTCGATTGCTGGTGGGTTTTTTAGCTTTGACTTTTGAGTGATAGTTTTTTTTATGGTGAACTATGAATAAAAAGCTAGGGTTACATTTGTCAGGATCTTGCAACTGAGATGTAAATATGTTTTGAGATTTGACCTGAAACCGTATTTTTTTGTCATTCTGAATGGAATGGTTGGGTGAACTTGAGTAACATCTTGTTGATCATGAATTTACAGAAGCCAATTTCAATCGTGCGAGCGCTCCTACGTGCCAATGATGGATTTGTTACATGTGTGTTTGATAAAATTTGAGGTTTAGTATGGTTCATTAAGTGGATTAAAATTTCTGTTTGCAGGGAAAATGGATCGAGGAAAGAAATCAAGTAAGCTCCTTGTAAACAAGAATAGCAAGAACCACATGGATTTACAAGATATTATCAGGGAGAGTGCCCTTCCTTTCCTTCCGGCCAAATCTCTTCATCGATGCACTGGTGTCTGTCGGGAGTGGAAACTTCAGATCTCGACTCCTTTCTTTGCCCACAACCAGTCATATTCTTTCCGTGATGTTTCCGGCTTCTTTTGTCAATCCCCATCAGGCACACCGTCATTTGTTTCCCTCAATCGAATGGCCTATGGTGTTCCAGATCCTTCTTTGAAGTTTTTGCCTGAACCAGTTGATATCAGGTGTTCTTCCAATGGACTACTGTGTTGCCAGGGTCGCACTGGATATCGGGCATACTACATCTGCAATCCTGTTACCCAGAAATGGAAGAAACTCCCAGAACCTACTGCTAATCACGGGACTGATCCTGCTGTTGTGCTAGTCTTTGAGCCATCATTACTGAACTTTGTTGCCGAATACAAGCTGGTTGTTGCTTTTGCATCTGATCTTGACGGATTTGAATTTGAGATCTATTCATCTACAGATGGATTTTGGAGAATTTCTGCTGAGATTTCTTTTGGCAAGATGAAACTCCTTCCGAGGACAGGTGTTCATGTCAATGGCGTTGTTTATTGGAGTTCTAGCATGGGTCGGATATTTTCTTTTGATCTCTCTTGTGAGCG